GAGGTAAATCGCAAGTTATGCCTCCAATGGTATAGGGAGGATGACAACTTGCACTTACCTAAGGGCCAAATCCATATTTCAGTTTTCGATCCCTTGACGCTACAGCCTCAAGCAAAGTTGGAGTTTTTAATTCATTTTGAGTTTTGTGTTCTGAGTGTTCATTTTGAAATTGTTGAAAATGCGTTCTTTTTGTCATTTTGAAAAATTACTTTCAAAAATAAAAAATTGAAGTTTTGACTTGGTTTTAATTGAAAACAACAAAAACGACTTTTTTGGCGTTTTCCGTTTTCTTTGTAAATTTTAAACTCGTTTTTGGAAATTCGTTTCTGAATATAGGTAAGTAAACGTGCTTTCAATGTTTTCGAAAATTGAAAACTGAAAATAACTTGAAAACAGCAAAGAGAACATATCATTAACTTTTGACTATCCATGCAAAACTCAATTCATCCTTCAGTCTGCCTTACTGTGTCCTTGTTTGATGGGTATTAAAATTTAGATTTTAATTTATTTCAAAATCGATAATTAATTTTAATCATATTTTTAAGAGATCCAAAAATTTTTAAATATATATTTCATTAATTTTTATCAAAATTTACTAAAAATTTGATTTTAATCTTCATCGAAAGGGGCTATATCGTAAATAAGTGAATAAAGCAAGAGAAGTCGGTAAATTCTGAAATATGAGTGAACAAAAATCCATTTTCAAAGATTAGGTACAACTGGATGAATAAAAATACACCAGCACATAAATACCTACACTAGATAGCTACAAAATATTTCCACTAATAAAGATATTGCCTATCATGACATTATTGGATAGGTCAATTAAAGACGGCCCCAAAATTTTCATGACAACGTTACGAATTCATATCTTTGCACTTATTTGAGCTTCTAAGCATAACGAATCAAAGCTGAAGACGGAACTAGGCTTTGAAGGGTCGAAGGATGAAATGTGCAGAGTTGATCGTGCACCTGTCGCCGTTTTTCCGTCTCATTTTAGCCCTAAAGATTATCTTCCTCGGCTGCTTTCTACAGTCGTGATTAATCGAGATTGAATAAACTTTCAAGGATAGAATGTGATTTGCACTTTTAGACGAAATAATTAAAGATGATTATTATTTATGTGACAACAATCTTACTTGCCCCTGTTTCGTGAGAATTAAAATTAAAATTTTTAATTAAGTTAAAGTCAATAATTAATTTTAATTATATATTTCATGAGGCTGACAACTTTTCGACCACACATTTCATAATTTTTTTTTATCAAAACCTACTACAAATCTAATTTTAATTTAACCAAATAGGGACTATAGAGTAAAAATGAAATAAATATAAAATATATAAAAATCTAAACTACGTTGATCAGTAAGACAAAAAAAAAAAGAAAAAAAGAAAGGAAATTGTCAAGTTTATTTACATTTGTGTAATGTTTTCTTACATCGAAGTCATGTATATAATTTTGAATGTTTATGTTTTCATGAAATGTTGAATTTTCAGTACAAATAATGTCGAAAATATGGCGTGAACATATCGAGATTAAAATTGGTGATTTATTAATATTGTTGTTGAACTCCGAATTTGAAAACATAGAAATTCGGAAGGGGCGAAAGGAATTTCAAATTGGATGTTGTACATAATATCTAGTTTGACGGATGAAATGGAGAGTACTCGTCAGTCAATTATCGAATTTCGTAGACACGTGTCGGATTAGCATTATTATTCTCAATTTAACGTAAATTGTTCATGATTATGGTTTAAATTATTTGTCTATCATGTTTTTAAATAAGCAAAACAAATTATAATGCAAAAACCCGATTAAATATTTGACCATCATTTTAAGGCATGTTAACAATATTTTTGGACGAAAATCATGATTAAAGACAAGATTTTCTGATCAATGAAATGTCAGAAATAACAACGTGATGAAGAAAAAATTTATGAAATTAATTCTTATAACTAAGTTTAGTTCCACATATTTATTTCTTTTTAAACAATGCATTGCAACTTTTTATACTTCGACCCAATAAATATTTAAATTTTAACTTAATTCGGAAAGCTATAGATTCTTGTTGATATCTTGTTGTCTTTTAACTACAAAAACTGGGCATGAGAATAACTAGTAAATGTTGTCTTGGTGGACCACTTTACATTGAAAATGTTGGACGCAATGTGATATTATTGGCTCAATCCATGCTCCACTACATAAACACAAATTGTCGTATATTATACAATCCTAGTCTCTTCGATAGAGAAATCTCACTATGAGCAATCGTGTAAAACATGAGTTTCTTTGTCAAATCCTAGTCCATCCACTCCCAATGAATAAACTGAAAGTTGTTCAATCATTCAAGGCCAATGTCGAAAACAACAAATTAATTGCGATTTCTTATCCTTATATTTGCACCAAACTTTACCCAATTTTTTTATTTATTATTATTATTATTATTTTTTGTATTTTTGGACTATGGTTTTCTCTCTTTCATGGAATCTACTGTTTATCGGAACTTCGGTTTATCCATAGTCAATCATGCAATTTGTAAGCTTAATTATATTGCAGACTTTACATGATATTTCGTTTACGAAGTCTTAACTTCTATCGCATAATATTAGACAATTTTACAAACATAGTTACAGTTCCAAGACACTTAATTCATAACTAACAAGAATGGCTACAATTTAGTAAAAGTGGCCATCTCTTCAAGGTTTCGAGTAAGAGGTACCCCTCTAATTTTGAGCAATCCTAAATCTTTTACAAGCCTCGTGAATAGAAAGCACGAGTATATGGCCAAGAGGCCAATACCTAAACATTTATCCAGCTGCATGTTCCTCTTTGGCAAAATCACAAGGGCCCATAATAATCCTCCAATCAAGAACCCTATGGTTTCATACAAATCAGAATCCTTTGGAATCACATAACTTGATGGATATTCTGCCCATGAAGCAAGTAGTAGTGACAATCCCAAACCCACCAATGTATTGAAAAGTGGACCCGCATAGCATCCGGATACTGCAATCTGGCCCCCATCTGGACCACCTTTCTGTGCCATAGTCAAGTTGGATATCAGGTCCCCTACTGAATTACCCCATGCCAGTACAGTGAGCCCTAAAATTGAAGGGCTAATTCCAAGAATATTACCGAATGCAACCAGTAAAGAAACCAATTCTTCTGCAGTTATGTATGTCCAAGCTATGCTCATTAGGAACCCTCCTACAAGCCATAGCAATAGGAATTTTCTTGGTGGGCTGGAATTTTTTGTACTGACAATTGCAGAAATCCCAAGAATTATTCCAACTAAAGTTGCAGTAATGTAAATGGCTAAACTAGATTTTCCTCCCTGTGTATTCCAAAGGGCTGCTAGTAAAATTGGTGAAAGTAGAGCAGAACTTACAGCAAATGGCTTAGACCATTTTTCTTCACTGACAGCTGGGATTGTAAGTCTTCTTGGTAAGGAAAGAGGCAACTCCAAAACATAGAGAAGTAAATTCAAGTAATAACACTTCTGATCACGAGTTTTCGACATAGAAGGCCTTATTTCGCACTGTACTACTTTATCTGAACTTTCTTCGTCCACATAGCCAAGTAATGGTGTTCCAATTGCACCACTTCCGTCCAAGACTGGGGGATTAACAACCCTTTCTTTCTTACTACCAAACAAATGCATTACAGAAACAATCCCAATATACAGAAAATACAAAGAAAAAAAGCAGATTGCAAACCAGAAACTAATTTTTCCAAAGATGATGATCATGATGAGACAGCAAAGTGTTAAAATGAAGAAAATAACATCCCGGACGAAGCTCGATTCGTCGACTATAATCCCGCGGGAAGATACCGATATACTAATAACTCCAACGACGAAACATGATATAAAAATGGCCCCTCCCAATACACTGTTGAGGCCAACATCGCCATCGCCAGATCGTGTAAATGAAATTATACTGGAAAAAACGTCATTAGCTCCATTTCCAAGTGGAAGAAGCGTGGTTCCAGCAATTGTCGGGGATAATTTCAGTACTGTAGACAAGCTCTCCACAGAAGGACAAAAGTATTCTGACGTTGTATTTCCCAGAACATAGAACAACACAACAAGCCAAAAAAGAAGCACTAAATACCCAATTACAGGCAATTTTCCGCAGTTACAGTAAAAGATTTCAAGATAATTTACATACCCTTTTCCCCAGCAAGCAGAATTTGACTTCACAAATCGGCACTTGGATCCATAATCAGTGAATTTGTGAACGTCACTGCAATTACTAATTTCAGTACCTTGATGGAGATTCTGCAAGTGGATGAAGCCAGAAATTGCATTCTTGGATTGATTAACATTAAGAGAATTTGAAATAACATACAAAGAGACCAGCAAGAGAAAAGATGAATTGATGAAGAGAGAGAGAGGTTTCCTGGAGAGGGATTTAAAGCTGAAACTACCCATTCAGAGACAATTGCAGAGAGGAAAATTATAGCGTCTAGGCATATGCTAATATAAAGGAAGTTAGGTGTCCAAGTCCATATTATTCGACTTTGTACTGGCACGGTGGGTTTGGAATATTTGCTGAACAAGTTTGTGGTGTCAAGTTGGGCGAATTGGGCCATATTTCTCTCTCCTTCTCATAAAACTTTTTTTCTACGTATTTATTTTTAATTATATATTCATATAATAAAATATTTTACACGTAAATTTAAAATTTTTTCATACTTTTTAACCATACATTGTCCAAAAATTCACCATTTAAACACATCATTTTTCCAGACTTCTTTTTATGATGATGGCCAGGCTTAATTATGTATACCACAGTAATTGGAATTTACTGTAAACTTAACCAACATAGAGATATGTGATGATTGGGAATTCCAAGATCCATTAAGCACTAAAGCCAAGCACAACCATACAATCCGAAATTAAAATGTCTATGGGTCTCTGTTCCATCCACCCGTGCAAAATTAAAATATAAATAATAAAAATTAAGATTTACAGTACCTCAAAAAGATAAATAAATAAATAAAACATATACCCTATACAAACATTACTCACCACCACCCCAAAACGAAGATAGAATATGGAACTACAGAGAGAGAGAGAGAGACAGAAAAACATGAAGAAATAGACAAGGGCGGCTAACAGGTATTTCTTGATTGTAGATACAGCGCTGTGTGTGTATATATATA